GTCGGGCGGCTGGCGGGCCGCAGGAGTAGGGCGGCGGGGCCGTCGAAAGGTAGGGCGGCGGGGCCGCGAAGTAGGGCAGCGGGGCCGCAGGATTAGGGCGGCGAGGCCGCGTCAGTAGGGCGGCGGGGCCGTCGGTGTAGGGCGGCGGGGCCGCGATGTAGGGCGGCGGGGCCGTCGGTGTAGGGCGGCGGGGCCGCGACGTAGGGCGGCGGGGCCGTCGAAGGGTAGGGCGGCGGGGCCGTGACGTAGGGCGGCGAGGCCGCAGGAGTAGGGCGGCGGGGCCGCGTAAGTAGGGCGGCGGAGCCGTCGGTGTAGGGCGGCGGGGCCGCGACGTAGGGCGGCGGGGCCGTCGAAGTAGGGCGGCGGGGCCGCGACGTAGGGCGGCGGGGCCGTCGAAGTAGGGCGGCTGGGCCGCAACGTAGGGCGGCGGGGCCGTCGAAGGGTAGGGCGGCGGGGCCGCGACGTAGGGCGGCGGGGCCGCAGGAGTAGGGCGGCGAGGCCGCGCGATGGGGCGGCGGGGCCGCGAGGTAGGGCGGCGTGACAGGCCGCTGCAAGGGCGGCGCGCCACCGCCGCTAAGGTGGCTCGGCGCGACCGAAAGGGCGGCGCGACGGGCCGCTAGGTGGGGGGCGACACGACGGGTCGCTAAAAAAAGGAGAGCGCGACTCGAGGCGCGCTTCGGTGGGCCCTAGGAACAGTCCCTAGGAGGGGACCTGCTCTGATTCCATGTGAGATAGAGAACGAGAATGAAATGACTATGAATGAAGTGAGTACATATAGGAAACCCTAATTGGGTTGTACCCCCTATGGGATACCCCACTATAGCCTACACAAATAAGTAAGCTATAATGTTCTGACACCCGTCTCCACACTTAATTCCCGCTACACTCCGCCATGCGGAACTGACGCAGACAGAACTTACGCTCGTCGTTCCCCAGTGGACCGGAGCGTCATGGTGGCCGCTTCTCCAACCGTCCACTCAATCGTGGGCTCCGCCAGTAGTAGAGCACCTCTCCCTTGCCCAAGGGAGTCAATTCCTTAGGGCAGGTTCACACACCGCTGCATTCTCTGGGCTTGGATTGCCTCATAGCCCAATCATTGCTTTGCGTGTAAACTATGCGGTCTAATCAAAATTTCTCAATGTGTCATGTCAGGACTTTTGACCAAACTACAGCAACAATTGATGCAAGTAATTAGCCACGTTCGTGCACCATCTACAATCGAGACGTACCAACCTTATTGGCAGAGGTTTCGCACCTTCTGCACCAAAGTTAAGCTCGAGTTCCTGCCGGCAACCGACCTGACGCTAGCGCTGTATCTCATCCATGCGCTCAACAACAAAGCAACCCTCTCCGCGATCAACCTCACGTGTTCGGCAGTTGCCTTCGCCCACCGCATGACAGGAGAAACCTCCCCTACCGCCGGCCCATTCACCCTGCAAGTGCGGGAGTTCGCCAAGAGACACGGTCCCCGGCCTACAAGGACCAAAGAGCCCATATCTCTCCATCAAGTGCACAACATGGCTCGTCCCTTCCTCGAATCATCAATTCCTGCGAAATACCAGAAAGGATTGATTCCTCTTCTCATGTTTTCGACATTCTTGCGCTACTCCGACCTCGTCTCGCTCCAATGGAATGATGTACAGTTCGAGGAGAAGGCAATGTGGCTGCTCATCCCGCACTCCAAGACGGACCAGGAAGGGAAGGGTGTCTGGATCCCAGTGGCGGCAATTCCAGGCCCATACTGCCCGGTGAGGTGCACACGCAAATTCATACACCTCGCAGGCCTCACAAAGGTGCCACATGGACCGCTGATAAGGGTTTTCCCAAAAAACTCGCCAGCCAGACCTAACGACAAATCGCCATCCTACGTCACGATCAGAAACTGGTGCCTCGCGGCCGGCAGGCAAGCTGGACTGGATGTCGCGTGTCAGAGGTCCACTGGTGATCCCCGATTGATCCTAGGGAAGGGTTAAAGGCACGTTGGCCTGGGGGGTTATGGGCGCACAGACCCGCTACTTAAACAAGCCCTTTTATCCCAATGGTCTAGTGGTTGGGATTCTGACATGGTATCAGAGCGAAGGTCTCGGGTTCGAATCTCGGTGTATGCACTTCGGGCATCCCAGTGCGGGGGGGTGGCAGAGGTCCACTGGTGATCCCCGATTGATCCTAGGGAAGGGTTACAAGCACGTTGGCCTGGGGGGTTATGGGCTCACTGACCCGCTACTTAAACAAGCCCTTTTATCCCAATGGTCTAGTGGTTGGGATTCTGACATCGCGCACATCGGAACTCACTCATTCCGCAAAGGCGCAGCTACTGCGGCGGCAAGCCTCGGAGTTCCTGACCGGCTCTTCAAACGCATGGGCCGATGGCGCAGCGACAGCGCGAAGGAGATGTACGCTACAATCGCGCAGGATCAGTTCATCTCCCTATCCACGCAACTGCACGATCCTTCGACGGCTCCCTCACCCGCTACGCATCAGCAATCAATCGAACGGCACCGCCAGCCCCGACTGCACTTGCCTCAGAAGACCCATATGAAATGATAACGCTGCCTTTGCAAGTCAGCCTAAGTACACTTTCACAATATTATAATTTTTGAAAGTGTAATGAAATGTAACACTTTCTAAAAATTTGTATTGTGAAAAGGGGTACGTGGCCAACACAACTAAGGTAGCGCCGAAGCGCTACTTGTCAGAATATTGTTCTCTAGCCTGCAGCGGGGTACTCTATAGCGAGTACAACCCCGTAGGGTTTCCTATATGTATCTTTCTGCTTTCTAGTGAACCCCTCTTCCTTTCTTCATTATAAACTTCTACTCCTAAACTTGATATGCTATCAGAGCTGGTCGATCCCCTTGGGTCGATCCTGTGGGTGGGCCCACCACCTCACTGCTTCTGCTGCTATTGCTACTCTCTGGGTTGAACGCCCCGTGGCGTGCAACGGATTTTTCATCCCGCCGCACGCTCCGAGCGTGCGGCGGTTTTCTGCCCGCCGTGCGCCCTGAGGCGCGCGGCGGCTTTCTACCCCGTCACTCCGCGCGTCGCTCCCGGGAGGCGCTGCGACGGGCGACGGGGACCCGCGCGTCGCCCTCCGTTGCCCGTCGCGGCCTGCGCGACCTGCGTAGGGCCCGCGCGCGGCCCGTACAGCCTGCGCGCGGCCCGTACGGGCTGCGCCAGGCCCACGCGCGGCCCGTGCGGGCTGCGCCAGGCCCACGCGCGGCCCGTACGGGCTGCGCCAGGCCAGGGCGCGCCTCAGGCCGCCCGCGCGCGGTTCGTACGGGCTGCGCCTGGCCAGTGGGTGCCCTGTTTCCTCGTCCCCCGTGCTTCTGACGGCGCCCCACCCCTGCTGTTGCCCGTTCTCCTGCATTAGGGTTTGGAGTGGGGGGTATGGGGGTGCAGCTTCTGTGTGCCATCCCCTGCTCCTCCTCCTCCTCCTCCGTCTCCAAGTGCTGCAGCTGCCGCTGAGGGGGGTGGATCTGTTGGAGCCGTCGGAGTGGTACTAAGGGGGGTGAAGGGGGAGTGGAGCTAGGGGTGAAGCAGGGGGCGTGTGTCAAGGGGGGTGGGACTGTTTGGGGAGGCTGAGAGGAGGCTTCCGTCGTGTCGCCAGCAGCACCAGTAGTCCGGGGCGTTGCTCCGGTAGCCCAGTCGCAGCCAGCTGTGCGAGTCGCCCGTGGGTCCGTTGCTCGTCTGCCGCTAGTTTTAGCCGCGGAGCCAGTTACTCCAGTAGTCCGGAGCGTTGTTCCGGTAGCCGCTGTGCCAGTGTGACTCCGGTTGCCCGTGTGTCTGCAGCTTCAGCCGTCGCCTCCTATCTCCTCTCCTCTTACAGTCTCGCCTCCTCCTCCTCACTTGCCCGATGTGACTACCACTAGCTTTGCTCATAATTGTGAACTTTGAACTGTTGCTTCTTGTACTTGTGCTCAGAATGTGTGGTGACATTGTGATCCACCCTGAGCTTGTTCTGCTTTGCTTGCTCGGTTGATTATACCCCACTTTGGCTATGGGGGTGTGTCAGAATATTGTTCTCTAGCCTGCAGTGGGGTACTCTATAGCGAGTACAACCCCGTAGGGTTTCCTATATGTATCTTACTGCTTTCTAGTGAACCCCTCTTCCTTTCTTCATTCTAAACTTCTACTCCTAAACTTGATACTACTCACCCTCTTTTGCCTACAAAAGAGGGACGTGGGGACATTCGTCCCCACCCACGTTTTCATTTTCAAAATTGTAGTTCTCATTTCCCACCCGCCCACCCATTTGTGTATGCTGTTAGGGCGTATTCCTACGGCCTCCTATCAAGAAACCTCCTATCAAGATTGTACCTTTTGCCTGGTAAAAGTAGCGAGAGATTTTGGGTTTAGGGAATTTTCCAGTGAGAGCTTGATAGGAGGTTTTCTTGATAGGAGGATAGGAATACGCCCTTATGTAGACATATATAAGACGAGAATGATGTACTACTACCCATATGAAATGATAACGCTGCCTTTGCAAGTCGGCCTAAGCACACTTTCACAATAGTCAGTTCACCTCATCTGGGTAGATGCCCAATCCATGGGGACTTAGACTGCGTTCACAGCAAGTTCCCCCAAAGCGAACCACGCTCAACAACAGTGCACAAATATTTGTGAAGCATGTGTTTCGGGTTGCTTCACGAAAGCTTGTCATGAACGATCTTGAAGTCGACAGGGTTACATGCACCTTATTGGTTCTGATAATTCGATCAAACTCGTTTAGGTGTTATCCACATCCGCATGGCATGTGGAGTGGGTGTGGTCAGCTACAAAACTGCCATGCTGGACCCAAATGTCCGCACTTTTTGGCCTCTTGGGGCTACTTCGCTTGGGGGAACTTGCTGTGAACGCCAACTTAGTGTAGGAACAGGTGAAGGTAACAATAATACTGAGAAATTAATAATACTGGTATGTGTGGACATCTATAGGGATGCATGTACAAACCAATCTGGCCATCTACGGCCAGGGATGCACGTAGAAACCAACCCGACCATCTACGGCCAGGGATGCACGTAGAAACCGGCCTTTCTCAAGTCAGTCAGCAACCTCGTCGCATCCTCACGTGTGTGGATGAAATATTCCTCAGTCCACATAAATTCCGTCATGCTCGGATGGTGATAATGCACCTCGACAAACAGCTCGTCTACGATCGCTGCCATGCGGGGGTTGGAGATCCAGTGCTGCAGTATCTCCCACTCGTACCCCTCTATATCCATCTTCACCACGACCGAGTCCTCCTCCTTCAACTGCAGGTCCTCTAGCAACCACCTGGTCACATTCACCATGTTCTGGGACGGGGAGGGGGGGGGGGACGGGGGGGAGAGGGTTGGACAGCCAGTGCTGCAGTATCTCCCACTCGTACCCCTCTATATCCATCTTCACCACGACCGAGTCCTCCTCCTTCAACTGCAGGTCCTCCAGGAACCACCTGGTCACGTTCACCATGTTCTGGGAGGGGGAGGGGGGGAGAGGAAGGGAGGGAGAGAGGGGGGGAGGGGGGTAGGAGAGTAGGAGAGGGGGAGGGGAGTAGGAGAGGGGGGGAGGGGGGGGGTGGGGGGAGAGGGGGTGGGAAGAGGGGAGAGAGGGAAGAGTAAGTCTGAGTCCTCTTCCTTCAGCTTCAGGTTGTCCTGAAACCACCTCGTCACGTTGACCGTGTTCCGGGTGGGGGAGGGTGGGGAGGCACTTTTGAGAATTCTCAAAAGTGACTCCGGGCGGGGCAGGGTGGGGAGGTATGGGAGAGAGGAGAAAGGGGGAGAGGGATTGGGGCACATCCTGAAGGGGGAGAGGGATTGGGGCACGTCCTGAAGGGGGAGAGGGATTGGGGCACGTCCTGAAGGGGGAGAGGGATTGGGGCACGTCCTGAAGGGGGAGAGGGATTGGGGCACGTCCTGAAGGGGGAGAGGGATTGGGGCACGTCCTGAAGGGGGAGAGGGATTGGGGCACGTCCTGAAGGGGGAGAGGGATTGGGGCACGTCCTGAAACCACCTCGTTACGTACGTTGACCGTGTTCCGGGCGGGAGTGGGGGAAGAGGGAGAACAGGGACGGAGACGGGAGGTGGGAGGAGGAAAGGGATAGCACCTGGTCACGTTCACGGTGTTGTGGGAGGGCACAACGAGGAAGGAGGCAAAAATTAGCAGAGGGAAGAGCAGGGCAGAGGGGAAGAGCAGGGAAGAGGGGAACAGAACAGCAGGGCAGAGGGGAAGAGCAGGGCAGAGGGGAACAGAACAGAAGGGCAGAGGGGAAGAGCAGGGCAGAGGGGAAGAGCAGCATTTGTGTCAAGACTTTGTCCAGCCAATGAGGCCTTCATCTCATCGCTCGTGAGCATCACCTCGTCAAGTCATTTGCTCATGACTGAGCCCAGCACCCTCATCCAGCACCCTCATCCACCACCCTCATCCACCACCCTCATCCAGGAATGGGCAGGAAGAGAGCAGAAATGGGGGGGGAACAGAGCATGAAAGGGGGGGGAAAGAGCAGAGAGAGGGGTGAACCGAGTAAGAAAGGGTGGAAAAGAGCAGAAAGAGGGGTAAACCGATCAGGAAAGGGGGGGGGAGGGAAGAGGAGAAAGAGGGGAGGACCGAGCATGAAAGGGGGGGAAAGAGCAGAAAGAGTGGTGAACCGAGGAAGAAAGTGGGGGAAAGAGCAGAAAGAGGGGTGAACCGAGCAGGAAAGGGGGGGGAAGAGCAGAAAGAGGGGTGAACCGAGAAGGAAAGGGGGGAAAAGAGCAGAAAGCCAGCAACGGGGGGACACGGCGCCTACAGAGCAAAACAGAAAGGCCCTGATTCGGCCTAATTCAGGTGCTCCTAAGCTGTCTTCTTTGAAATGTATTTACCTTCTTGTGGTTGTCTTTGGAGACACAAAGAAGCTGTAAGGATGAACGCGTAGCAGCAACCATTGTGGGAAGTCTAAAATCACTTATTGAGAATTCTCAATCGGAATCTCGTTTTCGCCTTCTTCTTACCTGCTCCCGGTTGTCTTGGGAAGAGACGTAGAAGTTGTAGGGATGAACGCGTTTCAGCAGCCATTGTGGGAAGTCTGCTGGGCCTTCGTGTGTCGGACGCAGGCGTGAATTCTGGCCCAAATCAGTTGCGAGTACCTAGAGCAGTTCAGAGTGATGCGGAAGGGTTTTGAGCGGTTGTAGAGGGGTATTCAGATTACTTTATTAGATACGTTAACCCTAAAAAATATCTGAATTTTCGGAGGATAATATGTATTTGACAAGGCAGGAGAGGTGAAACAGGGGGAAGGGGATTGAAGAAAGTGGGGGCCGGGTATGGGGTACAGGGGCTGGGCTAAACGAAACGATCTACGCGTGGGGATGCGCAATGTGGGGATGCGTAACGTGGGGATGATGAAGACGTGGGCATGTTCCTGATTGACAAGATTGCACGCCTTTATCCCCGTGTTACGCATCACAAAGGAACACAACAAAAATACTCTGGCAGAACCTATGCCGGCGCTTTTTTGTATGAAAAACTTACAGCCGATGCATCCGTTCCCCACACTTTGCCCTTACCTCATCCTACTCTCCCCTCATCCCCTCCAACCACTCCCTCCCCCCCAGAAACCCAAATGTACCCCCTCGCCAAGCGTCTCTCCCAGCCCAGTTTGCTGTTCACGTGCCTTTCTGACCCCTCCATTATTCGTTTAGTTCCGTATTTATATGTACCGTATATCACACACCTTTGTTACTGATGCATTTGGCATTTGGAACACGCCCGGATTTGCTTCCACCGCATGAACCTCGGTGAAATCGAGGGGATACATTTGGAGAAACCAGGTTACACTCGTGTTGAACGTCTTGGCTCCGAGGTCGATATAAACCCTCCGCTTCCTGTGGGAACACGGAATTCAAGGGCAGATTGGAGATACAGGAGGCAAGCAAGCATGAGGTTTTTCTGTGACGACTGTGCATTTCTTTATAATCGTGGATTTCGGTGAAATGAAGGGGGCTTAGGGTACATGATTTCGTGGATTACGAAGAAACCAGGCTACGCTCGTGTTGAACGTCCTGACTATGAAGTCGATGTAAACCCTCTGGCTCCTGTAGAAACTCTGAATTTGGGGGCAGCTTGGTCATTCCCCGAGGCTACGAAGGTGGGGGAAAGAAGGCAAACAGTTGCGAATACACTTGGTTTAAGCCGACGCCACAGACGATAGAACTACCCCCAGTTGGTACTACCACTACTATTTACTATCGCCACGCACCTTGCGTGCATTTTAGGATCCAAGGCGCCGCGCATCAACGGCAGAACCTGCGTCTTATCTTCCACGTCTTCCACGAACCCGAGGGTCCACCCCCGGCGGAAGTTCAGATGCGCATCGAGCTCCTCTATAGGCAGCCCCGCTACAAGGCACGGAGAAACGCGGGGTGTCCACTGTGGGTATTTGTGGGGGAGTCGGGCAGGGGGGAGGGAAAAAGTAAAATTTCTTGAAGGAAGATGCTCCGTGGGGGAGTGGCATGGATTCCGTTTGATGGGGAAAATCTCATTTCAGGTTAGCCGGAGAATGCGAGCAGGCATGGGGGAATGCAGGTTTGCTAGGCGTGACGGAAAGAACTTCTGAAGCACCGAAACGAACAAGAGGATCGAGAGAAACTCATGCGCCAGATTGTAGGGCGCACTCGAGTGCGCCGCTTGGGGCCAAGAGTGTTGGAGAGATGTGCGGCGGGGAGGTGTATGGAACGGGGGAGAGGAATGCGAGGACGGAAGGGGAAACCAGGGGGAAGTAATGCGGGGAATGGGGAGGAAATGGGGCGAAAGGGGGGGGAGGGGGGCAGGGCGGGGAGGGAATAGCTGTGGGGGGAAGGGAGGAGAGGGGTGAAACTGATTGAGCCGACCTAGTACTGTCTCGACGCGGAAGTCACCTAGGACACCCCAGGTCGGGCTTCTGAGGTCCTGTAATCATCACGAAAAGTCGGGCTTCGAGAGAACAAATGCTCTTGCTACTAGCTAATATTGCCACCTTAGTAAACGCCCACGGATCTGGGAGCGCGCGGCCTTGAAATGGACGGCTGGTTGACAACCAATCAGTGCAGGACGCTGTCTCTCCCGCCGCACCGCCTCCGCCGGCCAGCGAATCGGAAGCGCCGGCAAGTTTCAGCGTGAGAACACTGCCTTCTGGTGGCCCATCTGTGAGTCCCATTGCTGCCGCCAAGACATTGCCGTTCTCTCCGCAGCCACGGGGAAACTGAAGGGTGACGATCGAGAGCGAGCAGAGGAGAGTGGTCGCGATTATCGCCCAAGCGAGCGCGACGGGGTACGGTATTATCGACTCGACGGCCTTCATACGAGATATCATCGTTGAGGGCGACTCGTCACCCGAAAACGAGGTTTTTCGGAACTGCTTGAAGTGATTCGTAGGACGGAATGAGTGCTGGAAGTATCACCGTAATGATGAGGGAACTGCGTCTGACTGTGAGGAGGGAATGATGTAAGGGAATGCATGGGTACTGATTGCGCCTGTAGACACCAAGCTCTGATTCAATGCTTGAGTGGTTTGAATCTGTGTTGCCTTGCCACCTCTACACGTGCTGACCTGTGTTGACATGCGGAATTAGCGGAATGCTGTTCCGCTTCTGATTGACCTAGACTGACTTACGGCTGGTTTGTAGCCAGCTGGAGCTGACTCCATGAGCCCACTAGGAAGAGTATCGGTCCCGGGCCTCTCGAGGCGCACTTTGTACACAGTGTAAATTTGGCGCTGGAATCACGCCGAGGCTAATTTTGTGTTCGTTTGTGAAGCTTGGTGCCCCGAGTGTGACTCGAAAGACCCCGATACAGGTGCACGGGTACTGATTGCGCCTACAGATACCAAGCAATGGGTACCGATTGTCCATGGGTACTGATTGCTCCTAAGAGCGTGTCTGAAGTGAACGTCGATATTCCTCGACGAAACTTTGAGGGATGTCGAGGAATCCTGACGGTTGGAACGCTCGATCCGAGGGTTGAAACTCACCGACATACCTCGACGAGACTGTACATTCGTCGACGTTTCACTTCAGACACGCCCTAAATGACACTCGCAGCAGCAAGGTGTTGCCTTACAAGATTCTTGCGACATTGCAAACCCGGTTCTGTATACAGTAACATACACACACATAAAAGCTACTTTCCCCATACACCCTGCTAGTTAGGGCGTGTCTCTTTTTTGCCTTTCATGATTTTGACGTACCGTCCGATTATAAGGAATCGGACGGTACGTTAATACCGAAACGGACTGTCCGATTTGAATGTTTGCAACTTCGGACGGTACGAATGCAGTTTTGTCACCTTTTCCACATGCTAGAGTTCCGCGATGGTTTTCCCTTCGCCATCTCAAATGTACACCAGTAACGCCAGTCACAACCCATCGCTATTTTCGCTGGTGGATTTCAGCGCTTCGGATTTGGTAAACCCACCAGTCCGCAGGGGTGACGAGGCTAGTTGTGATTGGTCAATGTCCCTTTTTGCATCCGAGTCGCATTTTCCCTTTTTTTGGCGAGGCGGTCCGCTGAAATCCAAATTCGCCCGCCAATCGCGTGTGCGGACAGGCGGACAGTCCGTTTGGGATTCGGACCGTCCGTTGTCAGAGTTTCGTGTCGTTGGAAAGAGGAAAAAGTGACAGGACGGAACGAATTTGTAGCGACGTCGCAGACATCCTCGCGAAACACTGCACGACATCAAACGAAAATGGTTACCCTTCGCATCGACGTACGGTCCACGGTTCGTTCCGTCGAGTGCAAAATAGAGACACGCCCTTAGACACATGCAAGGGATAAGGACATCGTCATTCCCTCGCGCGAAGAATCCCCGAGAACTGACAACAATCACTCATTGGTGACTCGAACCTGCGTGGCTTCACGTCCATACTTGTCACGTCTTGGGACACCAATCAAGGCAGCAGCGATCACCACGTCACGGTCGCAGATCGCCAGTGGTGGCTGCTCCGAGGAGGCTGGACGCCAGATCAGCGATTTCCGTGGATACGGGAGCAGACTGCTCTGTTTTAAAAAACGATTTGCTAGCTGACAAGTCGTTGCATTTTGTCGCGAAGGTGCTTGAAATACAGAGTTCAACTGATGGAGTGGACTGATGGAGTGTGGTCAATATCACGCTTTGGTCAGTCCGAAAGTCCTGCGCAGGCTCAAAATTGTACGTACAGTGAGGCACCAGCGAACATTTATGGTTCAATTTTCCCCGGACAAACAGGAGGTTTTACAGTTTTATTAACACTATGTGTTTCGGGCATGGGAAAGAATGAGATACATATGCCACGACCACAATCGACTAGACAACCAACCACTCTGTCAGGCCAGGCAGACAGGTCAGGCCAGGTCAGCTGATGCGTTTCTTTCGCCGTGTAATGCCTCGGGGAATGCGTTGATGATGGGCTCTGCTAAAATGGCGGTACGCGTCGCCGACCTGGGCATAATTGCGCCCGAATATGCGACCCCTGAATGCAGCAGTGAAAGCATCTCTTCCCAAACTGCCCCACGCATGTACCCCCAAACCAAACCCAAACCATACCCCGCCGCCGTCGCCATCAGCATCACGGTTTCCTTCCACCCGCTGCGAACTGGAGGAGGTACTTCGGCGCAAAAGGGATCCACTCCGCCCCACCGCTTCTTCCGACCCCGGTGCACGCAACCCAGTCTGCCTGAACAATGGCCCTCCCTCCCTGCGTGTTCTGAGAAAGGAGTTTCCCCTCCCGCCCCGCCGACGCACATCACATCACACATCATCATCATCATCATCATCATTCATCGAACGCGTCGGTTTTCCGCCTCAGTGGAAACCGCTTGGAACTGCTGGTGCGACCGTGCGAGGCAACCGCTTCACAGCCTGCGCTTCCCCAACCCAAGCTTCCCTTCCGCCAAACCCCTCGTGTCCTAGCGTGACGCCCCCTAAGGATTATTGATATGAAGTAACGCTATGAAGAATTTTTCAAAAGGTGGGTAGGCTCCACTGATTAAAACCCGAGTATCACATGGCTGAATACCAAGTTTCCTGAACATGAAACAGGGTTAGCGAGAGGGAGCAAAAACCTTTTTCGTAGAACCAACCCTGGCGACGCACTCTCAGAGTCGCGAAATCAATCATCACCTCGCCACACTCAGATTGGCCTGCTTCCCCCAGAGATGACCACCACTGCACGAAAATACTGTGTGCGACCATTCTGTCGCCTCGAATGGTGCAGAAGCGCAGCCAATCAGCACCACCGATAAAAATTACTTACATCGCATCCAAACAGCGAGGGGGTATAGAGGGAATAGGGGGGTTACAGTCCGGTGAAGTGTTGAATTGAACTACCAAAACGAGTGGTAGGTAAACATTTGACACCAACCTCAAAAGCGACCTGAAACACCTACAGCCTCGCAAAACGTGCCTCACTCTCTTCCTCGCGCACCCTCGGTTCCATCTCGGGAGTGGCACCCCGTGCACGCCTAGCCACCTACAAAGCCCTCTGGTTCAACAATGGGGGGAAGGCGGGCGCGTTCCAGTCAGACACCTCCGCAGCCGTTGATGCGGCCGTTCTCTAACACCCATGCGTTGAGGTGGTTTCGAAGGCGCCTAAAAAACCACCTCAACGCAGCCGTTGATGCGGCCGTTCTCTCAACTCTCAACCCTTTCATTCTCTCCTCCCTCCCCTCCCCTCCCACCCGCTCCCACAACCCACAGCGCAGCAGCAGGCAACGCCAACGTCCCTCTGACCCTCTCCCCCACGCGAACGCTCCCCACGGAGGGACTCCGTCATGGGTCTATATCAGGCGTCGCACCCCGCGCCCGCCTCGCCACCTACAAAGCCCTCTGGGTCACCCCGGGGGGAGAGGGGGGACGAGGGGGCTGGGGGGTGTGGATGAGATAGTGGAGGTGAGGGCGGTACATTCCGAGCTCTCTACTCATGTTTTTTCCCTCTCTCCGTCTCCTCCCCTCCCCCACACACAGCGCAGCAGCAGGCAACGCCAACGTGCCTCTGACCCTCTCCCCCACGCGAACGCTAGGCACCATCTCGGGAGTGGCACCCCGGGCCCGCCTCGCCACCTACAAAGCCCTCTGGGTCACCCCGGGGGGAGAGGCGGGCGCGTTTCAGTCGGACATCCGCGCAGCCGTTGATGCGGCCGTATCCGACGGTGTGGATGTGCTCTCGTGCTCGTATGGCGGCGCCATCTCACGGTATTTCAACGACCTGCCGTACCTGCAAGCGCTCAAGGCGGGGGTGTTCATCGCCTTTGCAGCGGGCAACAGCGGCGCCCCCTCCAAGGGGCAGATGATTGGCACTCTCAGCAACACAGCGCCTTTTTACCTCACCGTTGGAGCAAGGTGAGACTTGGTTGACTCGCGTTGACTTGTGTTGACTTGCGTTGACTTGCGTTGACTTAGATTGACTTGGGTTTGGCGGCGCCATCTCGAGGTATTTCAACGACCTGCCGTACCTGCAAGCACTCAAGGCGGGGGTGTTCATCGCCTTTGCAGCGGGCAACAGCGGCGCCCCCTCCAAGGGGCGGATGATTGGCACTCTCAGCAACGCGCCGCCCTTCTGTCTGACCGTTGGGGCTAGGTGAGAATTAGGTTGACTAGGGTTTAGTCAGGTTGACTGGAAGTTAGTGTTGCTGTGAGCTGCAACAGCGGAGCCCCCTCTAAGGGGCAGATGCTTGGCACTCTCAGCAACACGGCGCCTTTTTACCTCACTGTGGGAGTTAGCTAAGACCTGGGTTGACTTTGTTTGACTTGGGCTGACTTTTGTTGACTTGGGTTGACTAGGAATGAGCTGCTTGCTGCTCGGCGCGCAGCAACACGGCGCCTTTTTACCTCACTATGGTGGCCAGGTGATGGCTGGCTTCAGTTGACTTGACTTGACTTGACTTGACTTGAGGGTGTTGCTGTTCGCTTCTCCTGCACACTCTCAGCAACAAGGCGCCCTTCTACCTCCTTGTGCGGGCCAGGTGAGGCTCGGGTTGACTTGATTGACTCAGGTTGACTGAAAGTGACTGTTGCTGTGGGCTGCTAGCTGCTCGCTGCTCGCTGCTCGGCACTCTCAGCAGCACAGCGCGTCCACCTCTCCTCCCCTCACCCCACCAGCACCATTGGTTGTGAGTACCAGCCAACTTAGGCCTGGGCAACGGAGTGCACCTCACAGGGCTGGGCTTGCATCAATCCCCCTCTTGACTTCGTTCCCCACTATCCCCACACTTCCACCCCCATGCCACCAGCACCATCGGGCGTGAGTATCAAGCCAACATCACCCTGGGCAAACGAGTGCACCTCACAGGGCAAACGAGTGCACCTCACAGGGCAAACGAGTGCACCTCACAGGGCACCTCACAGGGCACCTCACAGGGCAGAGCTTCCACCAATCGTCCACTCAACTCCCCTCCCCCGTTCCCCCGCCCTTTCCTTTCCCACACATTCCCCTGCCTTCCCCCCACCAGCACCATCGGCCGTGACTATCAGGCCAACCTAACCCTGGGCAACGGAGTGCAGCTCACGGGGCTGGGCTTTGGCAGCGGGGGCAACGCGCGGGACCTGCCTCTCGTGCTCTCCTCTGCTGCTGTTCACCCGCTGGGGACTCTCAGCCTGGTGCGTGGTGGGAGGGTGACACAGGCACAGGCACAGGCACAGGCACAGGCACAGGCACAGGCTTTGGCAGCGCAGGCGACGCGAGGGACCTGCCTCTCGTGCGCTGGTGGTGGGTGCTGGCAGCGCTGGTGGTGGTTGCCAGGTGGGGTGCAAAAAAATAGGTGGGTGCCGGGTGGGAGAACAGACTGCAGCTCATGGGGGCTCATGGGGGCTTGGCTTTGGCACCACAGGCAGTCCATCAGATCTTGCCTTTCGTTCTCCCCTCCCCTTACCCCCTCCTCTTACTCCACACCCTTTCTCTCATTCTCCCTTTCCCCATTCCGCCCTCCCCCCCCCCCCAGGCCCGGGAGTGTTTCACCTCAAGCCTTGACAAGGCCAAGCTATCCGGGCGAATGCTCGTGTGCAACCTCAAAACCAGAGACGTCACAGAGGCAATGAAGGACTCCACCACCACAGCTCTCGGCGCCGCTGCCATGCTGCTGCTCTCCGCCCCCGCTAACCTCCCCTGCCATGTTTCCCTTTTCCTTTTCCCCCTTCCCCCGCTTGCCTCCGCTCTCTTCGCCCCACCCTAGGCCCGAGAGTGCTTCGCCTCAAGCCTCGACAAGTCCAAGCTCTCAGGCCGAATGCTCGTGTGCAACCTCAAGACAAGGGACGTGCGGGAGGCAATGAAAGATACCACCACGGCTGCGCTCGGCGCCGCTGCCGTGCTGCTGCTCTCCGCCTCCGCTTCCTCCCCGGCGCCCTCCCGCGTACCCTATACAGACGTCCCCGCTATTCACTTGAACGCGGAGGATTCCGGGACTGTTCGGCAGTACCTCAGCAAGGCAACCAAGTGAGTGTGGAGCAGCGTGTTGTGAAAACTCTCGAAGATGTTTTGATTTTGGCTATTTATTAATATTGTTATCATTATTATTATTATGATTAGTATTATTTCTAGTTTCTCAAAGGCATCCTACAAGGTTCATGTCCCTCACCCTCGCTTTCCGTTCACCTCTCTGCCCCTCCCTCTCTTGCCCCTCCCTCTCTTGCCCCTCCCTCTCCTACCCCTCCCAGCCCCACACGTCCCTCTCGCCGCTCTTCACCACGTTCTCATCTCAGGCGAAGCCCCCTCAGCGGCCATTTTCTCCTCCACCGGCCCGCCTCTCAACCCCTTCATCTCATTCCCTGTGTCCCCTTCCTCTCCCTGCCCCATTTCCCGTTACTTCCCCTGCTCCCCCGTTTCCCAACCCCACAGCCTCCCTCATTCCGCCCTTCATAACATTCTCAGACGAAGCCCCATCAGTGCACAGACCCACCTATCAACCCCGCCTTCCCCGTCACCCCGCGCCTCCCCGCCTCCCACCTCCCTTGGGGTTCTGACCTCTGGGTTACACTAATCACCCTGTCGTTTTTTTTCTCTCTCTGCACTTCCCCTCCCCTGCTCCCCCGTTTCCCAGCCCCACAGCCTCCCTCATTCCGCCCTTCATAACATTCTCAGACGAAGCCCCATCAGTCGCCTACTTCTCCTCCCACGGGCCCGCGGCCCGCCTCTCAACCCCGCCTTCCGGCTCACTGGTCCCTTGCCTCTCGCCTCTCTCTCGCCTCTCATTTTTGGGCGGTTTAAGGCAGGGTAGAGAGGCGGGCACGTGGCGGGGTAAAGAGGCGGGCACGTGGCGGGGTAGAGAGGCGGGCACGTGGCGGGGTAGAGAGGCGGGCACGTGGCGGGGTAGAGAGGCGGGCACGTGGCGGGGTAGAGAGGCGGGCACGTGGCGGGGTAGAGAGGCGGGCACGTGGCGGGGTAGAGAGGCGGGCACGTGGCGGGGTAGAGAGGCGGGCACGTGGCGGGGTAGAGAGGCGGGCACGTGGCGGGGTAGAGAGGCGGGCACGTGGCGGGGTAGAGAGGCGGGCACGTGGCGGGGTAGAGAGGCGGGCACGTGGCGGGGTCTCGCCTCTTTCAATGCTAATCAGCACTTTCTTCCTTTTCCTTCTTCACTCTCCCCCCTCCTCTCCCCTCCCTTCCCCTCCCAGCCCCACAGCGTCCCTCTCCCACGTTCTCAGACGAAGCCCCATCCGTCGCCCACCTCTCCTCCACAAGCCTGCCTCTCAACCCCTTCATTCTCCTTCCCTGTTTCCCCTTCATTTTCCCATTTCACACCCCCCCCCCCCCCCCCCCCCTTTTGCTGCCCCTCTCAGCCCCACAGCCTCCCTCTCGCCGCCCTTCACCACGTTCTCAGACGAAGCCCCATCAGTCGCCTACTTCTCCTCCACGGGCCCGCCTCTCAACCCCGCCTTCCCAGTCACCCCGCGCCTGCTCGCCTCAAACGACATCTTAAAGCCCGACATCATTGGCCCGGGATTCCAGCTCTGGGCTGCTTCCAGTGGCCTCACACCGTCCTCTTCCTCTGAGCCGCCCAAATTCGCCTATCTTTCCGGGACCTCTATGGCCACACCGCATCTGGCCGGCATTGCCGCCCTGATCATCCAGAAGAATCCAAACTGGTCGCCCGCCCAAATCGCATCCGCAATCATGACCACCGCCTACACCACCAACAAGCTCGGCAACCCCATCCGCCGAACCACCAGCTCCGGCAAGAAGAGCTCTGGGAAAACGGTCGAAGCTACCCCGTGGGATATGGGGTCGGGTCAAGTTGACCCCATGCGGGTATTGAACCCTGGTCTTACATTCCACGTGGGTTACAAAGATTACGTAAACTTTCTCGCGGGGCGTAGCTATTTCTACACCATGATGAATTTCCCAGGTGTTGGGGGAATCCGGCCGGTGAAAGCGTTCAATCTCAACCGTCCGTCGATCTCCATCTCGCGGCTCTCGAGACCGGTGGTGGTAAGGCGTGTGGTGAAGAATGTAGACGTGGTGGCAGAGACCTACAGGGCGATAATAAGGGGGCCTAGTGGAGTGAAAATAGATGTCAATCCAAAGAGCTTCACTATCAATCCCGGGCAGACGCAAAAGTTTTCGGTGCGGTTTCGGCCCAAGGGGAAGCCAAGCAGGGTGTTTAAGTTTGGAAGCCTGGTGTGGCGAGGCAATCAGTCGCATATTGTTCGTATAGTTCTGGCCATTAGAACTGTACCTGTGACTCAGTTCCTTAACTAGGTTGTTATCTTGTTTCTCAACGCCTTGTTGATTATGTGCTATTAAATTATTGTATATTGAACGATCTGTAAGCATAAATACATACGATGTAAAATCATGTTGCAGCGCAGTGCTGCCACCGGAGCACTGTATGAAGAAACTATGCACAAGGGTCTAGCATAGTTTAGATATTGTTACGAGTGCAATTGAGTGAACGAACGAGAATTGCACTATCGAAGCAAGAATACAATGAGCGAGGGCGTGAGCAAAGAATATATAGCGAAACTACAGTGGTAACGGTAATGGTCTGTGGTAGTCGCGCGACGAGCCTGGGACTGAGGTTGGGAAAGTGTCGAGGCGTAGGCCCGGAGCGCGGGTTACCAGCCGAGCCGTGAGGTCGGGATGCGATGTGCGAAAAATGGCGGGATGATTGTCGATGCGATGATCGCGAGTGGTAACGGTGCTGACTGAGGTGCTACAGTGATGTACGCGTTGAGCAAGGATGCGAAGTAAGGAAAAGGGATTTTCCTTACACTACCCCCCCCCTCCTAAGGAGGTCCTTCTTACGAAAGTGTGTGGACATCTTTTAAGTTTCGGCTGCGCAGATATTCGGTGAGGACAGGGTGGTTTTCAATTCTGTCCAGGGGAGCCCAGTTGTCCTCGGTAGGTGTACGGTCTTTCCAGCGGATCAGGAACTCGATCTTTCGGGCTCCTCGGGGGTCGCGAACTCTGTGACTCAGGATTTTGTCAGGGGTGATGATTGGTTCGGATGGTGGTCGTGCCATGCTGGATGGTCGGTGTCGTGGGAGTTGGCCGGTGGATGGTACGTAAGGGCGAAGCAAGCTGACGTGGAACGAGGAGCTGACGTACCAGTCAGCAGGGAGGAGGAGGTGCGCGGTGACAGGTGTGATCATGTGGCTAATTCGAAATGGCCCACAGTATCGGGGGCGGAGTTTTGGAGTGATGGGCAGGCGGAGGTTTTGAGTGTCGAGTAAAACGAGGTCGTCGGGCTGATAAGTGACAGGTCTGCGGTGGCGGTCGGCGTTGCGTTTAGCGATGATGTTCGATTTTTTTATTGCTTCTGCTGCCCTGGTCCGTGCTGCTTGCAAAATCTCGGCAAATTGTTGCGCACGTGGAACGGGATTGTCGGGATTTGGGGTCATGGGTACTGTGGGGTCTTGTCCGTAATTCAGGTAAAACGGCGACTGTTGGGTCGTGGCAGATGGCGCGTTGTTGTATGCGAATTCGATGAGTGGCAGCTGCTGCTCCCACGTGTTTGGGTCGTCGCACGTGGCCCTAATGAGCTGCTCCATGGTCTGGTTTGTCCGTTCTGTCTGTCCGTCGGTTTCGGGGTGATACGATGAACTGAATTGTAGTCGCGTGCCGAACTGCTGCCACAGGTTCCGCCAGAAATTGCTGGTAAACTTCATGTCTCTGTCGCTGATGATCGATGCTGGTATCCCGTGCAGTCGAACGACGGTGGTGATGAAGAGTCGGGCTGTTTCCTCGCCTGTGATTGTTTTCTTGCAGGCTGCGAAGTGTGCCATTTTCGTCAGTCGATCGACGACGACCAGGATCGCGTCATTCCCACTCGCCCCGGCTGGTAACCCCGTGACGAAGTCCATCGTCACTTGTTGCCAAGCACGCTCTGGAGGTGGGATTGGCTGTAATTGTCCCGCCGGCCGCTTCCTGGTTGACTTCATGAGCTGGCAAGTGGGACACGATGCCACGTGTCGTTGCACGTCGGTCAACATTTCAGGCCAGTAATAGTACCGCTGCAACTGCTGCCGTGTTTTCTCTACTCCGAAATGTCCCGAGGTAACTCCGTCGTGTGCCTCCTGTAACAGTAATTCCCGTAGTAGTGTGTACCCTGGTACCCAGATGCGGTCGGTTCCAGCTTTTACGTAATAGACTCCCTTGGCTGCTGCGAATTGCTGCGAGTTTCCTCCTGTGAAGAATGGGTCTATTTGATATCCGTGGGTAAATAGTCCTGTCAGTAGCGGACTGGTCTGGGCGAGTAGTATCGCATGGATCTGGGCAGTGGGGCGGGTCAGTGCGTCGGCGATATTGGAGGCTCCTTTTTTATAGGTGACCGTATAATGGAAGTTCGACTCGAGGAAGTCGAGCCACCGAATCTGTCGTGGGTTGAGGTGGGGCTGTGCACGGAGGTACTGTAGGGATCGATGGTCTGTCCGTACTGTCACGTCTGCGCCGGTCAAGTAGCAGCGCCACACTTTGAATGCATGCACGATCGCGAGCATTTCGCGGTCGTGTATCGGGTAATTTCGCTCAGGCGGATGCAGTTTGCGTGATTCGTAGGCGATGGGTTGGAGGCCGTTGCCGAAGTCCTGTAACAGTACGGCTCCGATGGCGATGTCGCTCGCGTCTGTAACAACCTTGAAGGGGCGATGTGGGTCAGCGATGCGTAGGACGGGTGGTGAACAGAGAACAGTTTTCAGGGCAGAGAAGGCAGCATGCTCTTTCTCCCCCCACGTAAAAACGACCCCCTTACGCAGTAAATCTGTGAGTGGGGCTGTTAAGCGTGCCATGTCGGGGACGAACCGACGGACGTAATTAACGAACCCTAAAAAACTCTGCAGTTCCGTGATGTTCGTCGGGGGACGCCACGCGTTGACAGTATCCAGCTTCTTAGGGTCGATTTCAACTCCAGCCTCCGAAATAACGTGTCCTAAAAATTCTAGCCTGTCCCGAAAAAACTCGCACTTGGAGCCCTTGGTGAGTAACCGATGTTCCGCTAAAATTTTAAAAACTGCTTCGAGATCGACTAAGTGCTGCTGCTTGTCCCGACTGTAAACGAGAATGTCGTCAAGGTAAACTATCACGCATTTATCTAAAAGTGGCCTAAACGCCTCGTTCATGGTCATTTGAAATGTGGCGGGCGCGTTGGTCAGCCCGAAAGGCATCACCGTATACTCGAATGACCCGTACCTAGTTCTAAATGCTGTCTTGGCGCAGTCCGATGGTTCGACCCGAATCTGATGGTAACCTCCTCGTAAGTCTATTTTCAAAAATACCCGTGCGGTTCGTAACTGGTCGATCAGTTCGTCGGCGCGGGGGATGGGGTACCGTGATTTGACTGTTACCCTGTTAAGCGCTCGGTAGTCGATGCATATGCGAAACCCTCCGTCTTTTTTCGGTGTGAACAGTATCGGTGCGGCGAACGGTGACGAGCTCGGTCGGATAAACTGCTTCTCTAACAGATAATCTAACTGCTTCCTTAGTTCGTCGAGCTCGGGCTGTGTCAGTCTGAACTGGCGCTGTACAGTTGGCTGTGCCCCCGGTTCTAACTCGATCCTATGGTCATGCGCCCGCTGAGGTGGCAGCCCTTGTGGTAAGTCATCCGGAAAGATACCCGGGAATCGTTTCAGTAGTGCCTGAAGTTCGGGTGGTACAGCTGCCAATAGTTTCTGAAAATCGCTCGGCAGCTCCTCTTCTTGCATTAATGCTATATCCACTGCGTACACGTCAGCTCCAGCAGCGACAGCCCGTTTCATCGTGATGGCGTTGACCTGGACCGTCGAAGACTCGGGTGGCTGCCAGCGAGGTAGGACGACCCAGTTACCACTATTTCGCACTGTGCAGCTACCCGTCGTCCAGTCAATTCGCGGGTTATACCGTCGCAGCCAATCACGTCCCAGTAAAATGTCGTGCCCATCCAGTGTCGTTGCGAGCATTTCCTGTGTAAACCCGAAGTTTCCTCCGCAGCGGACTTTTACTCGCTCCACCTTTTCCCGTATGGCTAGTGGCGTTCCGTCGACTAAGCGTGCATCTATCTCAGGTAAGCATCGGTTAAGTGTTAACTGTAATTTCCGTGCGGTTGCGGTATTAACTAAACTGTGACTTGCTCCCCCGTCAATAAAAATCTTCACTACTGCTCCATGCATTTTCCCGTAGATCAGTACCGGGCAATCCGTCGCTGTACCCTCCTTATTCATCCGAGCCCGATCGATGGCGTGAATCGGTACTGTGACTCGGTGAGGGTCGGTGTGGTTGGGCGAGCAGGCAGTCTCGTCAGCAGTTGGCCCATCTTCTACTGACTGCTGGCGTTTCCCTGCCTCTGAGACTCCCTCCCCTGCTCTGCTCCTCGGCGACTCAGCTCCTCTGGGCATTCGCTCTTGCGATGGCCCGGCCTGTTGCAAGCAAAGCAACGCCCTTTAAACGGTGCGGCAGCTGCATTTGTTGCAACGGCGTGTACAGTGGCGCGCTCGGTCGGTCCCCGAGGGCGATGTCCGTAATAGGACCCCGGTCTCGGTCGGCGTAGAATGTCGATCTTCTCGGCGAGCGCGAGAATCTCGTTAAAATTAGAGAGTCAGCGCAGCATTATTTCGTGCGAGATATCCGGCTTCAGCCCTCCGACATAACGGTCCACCCGCTCCGCTTTGTGCATGTAGCCGACCTGCTCGCAAAGTGCGAGAAAACCGCTTGTATAATCTTGAACTGACCCGAGCTGGCGCCAAGTGCGCAATCTCTGACGCGCCGAAATTGAAGCCGCGATCGGCTCAAAACGCGCCCGAAGCCCTGCGCACCACGCATCCCACGTGCTGTATTGGGCGGTCTCAGAGAACGAACTCCAGGTGACAGCTGGACCCGTGGGCCCTTCCTCGTGCGACGGTGGCTCGTAGGCGCGTGGCGACGTCACGATGACTCGCCACCAGTCCATGGCGGGGCCCCTTAGCAGTGAAACTGCATACCGGATTGTTAGAACATTATAGCTTATGCTATTGTGTAGGCTATAGTGGGGTATCCCATAGGGGGTTCAACCCAACTAGGGTTTCATATTTGTACTCGCTTCATTCAT